TAACAATTTTATAGCATTAATATTTCAAGCAAACTTTCTGTATACCTGCTGTTACTGATAGAGCACAGGTGTTCAACAGACTCATTTTCTATAATGTCAACAGGGCTGACAATGACCACTTTGGCAGGCCCTACATAGCATTACCATTGTAGGATGCATGAGGAGCCTACACCCTCAATACATATCTCAACACCTATATTGTTGGCTTCTTGTTCCCATTTGGAACAGAATCAGTGAATGGAGGCACTTGTCATTTGGTTTGAAATCAATTAACAGGATTCTCCAAATATGTAAAACTCTCCTATAGATTCTTTAGGCCTTTAGATTTTCCTAAATATCGCAAAGCCAGGAAGAAGATACTTCTTTGGAAAAATACAGTAACTATCTGTTGTGATATGTGATAGTAAAGTAGGTGACAATTAAAGAATCATTGTATTTCATGTTGCAGTTATTGATGTTTTATAGACTATTTAAATATAATAAGATTTTAAAAATTATATAGAATCATTAGAAAAAGTTGTACAAAATAAATCTCACGTTCTCAGATTGATAGTTCTAGCTCTTTTTTATGGGTAATTTTTTTTTTTTACATCTTCAAAAAGAAACCTTAATAATGCTTTTTTTTTTAAACAACCAGTGAGACTACCAGGCCTCTGGATGATTAACTACCCTATGATATTTCTTTCATCCAAGCTGGTTTATAAAGGAAAGCAAAAACGACAATAAAAGAAATGTACCAATTTATTCTATACTAATAAAGTATTGAACATTAGTGAAAAAAGTATGAAATATTGGAATGCAACACAAAGCAATTCTATTACCCGTTGCAGTTTTGGGTCATATACCGTATATAAAGAGTAATTACTTCACTGGTTGGAGACCACAGTGGAGGAATACGGAATTTGATGAAAGATTTTAAACTGATAAGAACAGATACTACACTTGATCTTAGCCAAAAGGCCGAGAAGCGATGATGAAAGATTTTAAAATAAAAATTTTATCCCAAAGCATTTGCTTTTCAAAACTTTGCCAACAATTCAACTATCTTATTTTGGGTTTGGGTGGCAGGGGTGAGGATCTAGGGGTCTAGGGAGTGGGGTGAAAGTGCAGAAGAAACAAGAATGAACAGATTTTAAAAACTCTTTAGCCAATAATTATACATCAGCACTTTAGATTTTAAAGTGTATACAAAATATAATCTTTGAGATGCCTTAAATAACACATCTTATAAGGATTTTTGTTTTCCTTATTCTCTTTAAACAATATTTTGCAATTTCATATTAGTCTATCAGTTGTATGTATCATATTAGTGATTTTTACTTTGTTATTATAAACGAAACTGCAATATTTTTTCAGGTGTTAATTGAATATAGTGAAAATCCCATTCCTTGATGTCATATTTGTTGCTAATTTTTTCCCCCACTTTGCCTTTTAAATTTATGACTTTTGGCATAATGTTTTTAATTTTATGAAACTTTTGCTGTCAGTTATTTTCCTTGGTGATTTCCTTTACTGCTTATATGCTTAGAGAGTTCTTTCTCATCCCTAGGTCAGTAAATAATTTAGCTGTAGTTTCTTCTGTTTTTATAAGTCACTTAGTGTTTCACTTTTTAATTAATCTAGAATACATTGGGCTATTTTAGATAGATGCTAAGATAGATTTTGGGCTATCTCAAATAGATTTGAGGCTCTATTAAGGTAGGAATCAACATAACTTTCCCCAGTTAACACAATTACCCATAACATAATACTTCATTCTTTATGATGGATTTGTTGTGCTTTAATCATACACCAATCTCTCCTTCAGTGCTCATCTTTCATACTTTAAATACTTAAAGATATAGTACAATAAATGCCTTCTCATTATTTCTCTTTTTCAAAATTTCTTGGTTATCCTCATTTATTCTTCTAAACAGATTTTGAGTACACCATTACACTCCACTCCAGACACATTGGGATTTGTTTAAAATTGCATTAAACCTGTACGTTCAACTGAAAAAAATAATACATTCTTTTAATATTCAGTGTCTCGATGCAGAAACACAGTACTGCTATTTTCTTTATATAGATTCTGCACATGTCTTGTTAAGGTCATGCCTAAATATTTTATATGCTAGAGCCCCGGTGCACAAAAATTTGTGCACTGGGGGGGGAGGGGGGGGTCCCTCAGCCCGGCCTGTGCCCTCACAGTCTGGGACTCCTTGGGGGATGTCCACCTGCTGGCTTAGGCCTGTTCCCCGGGGGGATTGGGCCTAAGCTGGCAGTCAGACATCCCTCCGGCAGCCCGGGAGCCCTTGGGGGATGTCCACTGGCCAGCGGGGAGCAGGCCTAAGCTGCAGTCAGACATCCTTAGCGCTGCTGAGGCAGGAGAGGCTCCCGCCACCACCGCTGTGCTGGCAGCCGTCAGCCTGGCTTGTGGCTGTGAGCAGAGCACCCCCCGCCGTAGGAGCACACTGACCACCAGGGGGCAGCTCCTGCATTGAGCGTCTGCCCCCTGGTGGTCAGTGTGTGTCAGTGACAGTCGTTCTGCTGTTAGGGTCAATTTGCATATTACCCTTTTATTATATAGGAGGATTTTTACTGCTATTATGAAGGAAATATTTTTCAAGTCATAATTTCAAATAGGTAAGACACTTTTCTCAATGAGCTTTCGCTGTATAACCAACATGCTTCAATTTCAGCTTGGTTTATTCTGTATGTAGAAAAGTATTTATAAGAGTACTTTACTTCATAGACATAAATGAACTCCGTACTTGAGAGAGAACACTGAAGGCCATGAAGATGATTACAGCAGATTAACTTTGTAATTATGAAAGGAACTAAAAGGAGCCACTGGTTATCCATTTTATTCTAAAGTGTAAAATTGCGTAGGTGCAATTACACATTTATTTTTATTACTGAGGAGGGAAAAAAGACAAGAAATTGATTCACCCATGTCTGTAATAACAAGTAAAAGGCAAATTGAAGATAGTGGGGACTCAGAGTACCTAATTTTTCCTTATACTTTGAGCCTAATGCACCTCATCTACCTCATTGTCTGACAGTCCATTGTGGCATAAGCAAGATGAATAATGTAGGCAATATCTTCCATGGGAATTAAATTAAAAACAAAGGCTCTAAGTAACCGGTATCTAAAGATCATGTTATAAAACTGGTCCCCATGTCCTCAGTCCCCTGGACCCTGTTGTCCCTGGAGGCTGCATACACACCTGTCATTCACTTGCCCTTGGCTTTGAAGGTGGCAGGATGCCAGCCTCAGCCAAGTGTTCACAGTGCAAAGTGCTTCAGAGACTCCTCTGAAATGAAAGTCAGTATGTAAATGTGCAACATGACGACATTATTATTCTAGCTTCCTGGCGGCTTTCAGTAAGCACTGCCTGCCACATGAGGTCTCAAGTGTTCTGGCACAGTGTGCAAGCGTTCGAAAGAAGTTAAAGGAATGAAATTGGAGCTACATTTTCAGAGCTATTCAAGCTGGCATGGAGGAATGGAGTCATGGAATCAGGGTTGGATGGTCTCCACCAAACAGCCCAGGCGAGTGCCTGTGATGCCAGGCTACTAAGCAGAATTTTCAATCGTGAAAGGCCACCAGTATTTCTTCCTCTGGGTCTAAAATTACAAAATGTACACACCTCCCCCAGGCTCACACCATTCTCTGGGTGCTTTCTGCTCAATCCCCATCCGCCCGTTCCCTGGAGCACACCAGTTTGCTTAAATCCAGCGTTAAGTTTTAAAATGAAGAACTAAGTACAAAGAGGAGAAAAAGTTTAGTTAGAACCCTAATATAGCATAAGCTACTGTATGACGTCTGTGGCTATTATTTTTCAGAGGAGGCCAGGTTTATTGTATATCTCATCTGTCTTCGGTACTATCCTAGAAATTGTCCACTTAGTGGATTTTAATTGACTTTGTCATTTAACCAATCAGAAAAGATATATGCACCCCTATGTTCATAGCAGCACAATTTACCATAGCTAAGATTTGAAAACAGCCTAAGTGCCCATCAGCAGATGAGTGGATTAAAAATCTGTGGTACATCTACACAATGGAATACTAGGCTTCGGTAAAAAAGAAGGAATTCTTACCATTTGCAACAGCATGGATGGAACTGGAGAGCATTTTGCTAAGCAAAATAAGTCGAGAAAGATAAATATCATGATTTCACTCATTTGTAAACTATAATGAACAACATAAATGATGAACAAAAACAGTTCCAGAGACAGAGAAGCATCGATCAAACCTCAGAGGGAAGGCAGGGGAGGCTGACACGGGCGGGGGGTGGGGGGTGGGGGGGGGTGAGGGCATGAGTGTGGGGGGGAATATATTATTTCAAAGAAGGGGAGGGAGAGAGAGAGAAACATCAATGATGAGAGAGAATTATTGGTTGGCTGCCTCCTGGACTTCCCAAAGTGGGGATCGAGCCTGCACCTGGGTATGTGCCCTGACTGGGAATCAACCATGACCTCCTGGTTCAAAGGTTGATGCTCATTCACTAAGCCACACTGACTGGGCAACCTTGTCATTTTTGTTTGCAGTTTTAATTCCTGTCAGGTCAATTTGTACCCAGCAGTCTCTGCTGATGAAATATCTAAAGCTAAAACCAAACTCAGGTGTGTGGGTGGTGGGGTCAAAAAACAAGGTCTACTAAGTAGTGAATCATGGTGGGTCCAGGGTCAGCACAGATCCTGCTTGTGGTCATTCTGAGACATGACCTATCTCTTAAACCTTTATACTGGCTGACATTTTTCTGTTCATCAGGGCACCAGCAACAGAGTCTGAGTGCCCTGCTTTGCAGCTACCTTTTACACTAGCACAGCTCCACAATAGTGGCTACTCTTCCTCCTTCCCCTCCCTTTATATCCTGAATTCCCAAGTGATCCTTGTATGTAAGACGACATAGAGTTTAAGTTTAAAAATGTTAAGACAGGGACAATGCAAAGAATTCAAGCACTGAAGAATACCATTACTCATACAGAACCTCTCTTTTTATTATGTTTTAGGACAGTGAAAAGAAGGGGTTTATAAATAAAATCTATGCCATCCAGGAGGTATGTATCAGTGTCCAGAACATCCTAGATGAAGCGGCTTCCTTAGGCGAAAGGATAAAAAAGTAAGTGATGCTGACACGTGGACCCTGGCCTTCTGTGGAGACAGAGTGTCCATTTGTTTCTCAGAGGGTGAAATGCCAATTCGTTTTGGCAGGGGACACTCCTTCTGGATGATCTATTGCTCAGTTTCATCATTATTTACTTTGTTTCTGTCAGTCTTTGGTTTTATGAAAGTTCTGTCAATTTCCTTCCTGAAATTTAGAACATATTGGTTGGAAAGAAATTATACTTGTAGCTTTGGAGAAATAACACCATTCTAAATTTTAGCACATTTTCACAGTGAAAGGCTTTGTTCTTAAACAGAATATCAACTCATGATAAAAAAAATAAGCAAAATGAGGATTTCGGGTAAGGAAGACACACATTTTATTGTTGGCTGAGGTATATTTTCAAATTAACCTAAAATTTTTTGAAAGTGATATTATATATAGCACCTTACCAAAATATACTTTCAAATTTGTGTATTTATATAGCTAATATATTATACATGAAATAAACTAATGCTCGGCCATTAAACATTTTTTAATTCTGTGGATTTTTAAAAATCACCTTTATTTTTTTGAATAAGAAAATATCTAATGCAAAGTTAAGAAACATTCTTAATTTTATATTAATTGTGTTTTACCTGAAATACTTTTTTACTAATCTACTTTTTAAAACAACTGTTTAATTATAAAAACAATAAGGTGATTTACAATTGATTATCAGTAAAAATATACTAAGGCCTCATACTACTACTGAACTATATAAAAACTGGCCCACTCAAGAAGGGGTGCTGTATATCCAGTTAAGCCTACATTTTCCTAGTTTCATATATCCACTCATTGTTTATTGTTCATAACCCAAAGTGTTCAGATTTGACTCTGTGGGCGTAAGTTAAAGAGGAGTAAGTTATTTAAACTAAAGGTTTGAGTCATTCATTTAGTGCCTTTGATGTTTCAAGGGATAATGAGTCTTATTTCATGTAATTTTTTTGTTTAATACATTTCCACACATGCATAGATGCTGAGTTTCCACATTCTCGTATCACATTAGACAGAACAGCCTCCCTCTCACTCCCAAATGTGCCTCGAAGCAACAGTCAGTCTTAGACTTCTGAAAATTGATTCCCATGTCTTTCTTTTCCCTTCTTCCTCTCAATGTTTTTTTTCTCCATCCCTAAGAATGTCCCCCTGTTCTCCACACCCTGTCCATGAAGCACAGGGTGAAGTCCTAAATGGGGGCTTTCCTTACTGAGTGTTGTCCTTTCTGAGGTACGCTGGGTGTTAATACCTGATGACAGCATCTCATTGATACCAGAAGACCCTGGGTCAGCTCTCAGGCCAGGCTAGTGAATGCCTGAGGGAAAATGGTTCTTTATCTCTCTGTATGCTAAGAGACCTCAGAACAGGTGCTGGCTGGAAAACATGAGGGCCAGTTGAAGCATAGGACCAGATCCTGGCTGTGGACCAGCCTTGTGGTACACGGGGTTTTGTAGAACTTCCATAGGTACAGTAGTGATACAGGTATAAGTATAGGCTGAGGTGTAGCCATCTTCTCTGCACAATCTTTTGAATATTAAAAAGAGAAATTCCCCTATAGTCACATGGAATATAATGCATCTATTCAGAAAGCAGCTTCAGAAGCAATATTTAAGTACAAAGTGAAAAGTCTCTATAACTGCATTTTGTTATTCATTCCAGAACTTTCTTGAATGGGGATCATATTCTAGATTTAGATTCCACAATGCATTGTGGGAAAAGGACAATCTTGTTTCCCCTGACATTAGCTACACTGGTAAGGATTCTTACTCTTCCAAGAGGAGAAAGAACACAGGGAGCCCTTCCGTGAAGCTGCCCAGAAGACGGGTTTTCTGAGGGAAGAGCCAGTGCCCTTGCACAAGGAACAGTGTGATGGATGGCTCTGAGCTGAGCCCCAGGAGAGCAGGCAGACCCTCAGCCTTCTGTTCTCTCCACAAGCAGCAGAAGCAAGGGAAGCACAAGTGTAAGAGAGGGAAGACATGATTCTTTACCTGGCAAGTTATAAGTCGCTCACTCTAGCCATGGGAGGAAAATGATAAAGTCCAAAAAGCCAGACCCTGAAAGTAATTGAAAACAAGACAATCAGATTGATGCAACTTTGGTTGTTTTACTAAAAAAAATTTTTTTTAAATATTAAACATTTGACCTCAGGATACAATAAGCAAGCTATATGCTACAAAACTAAGGAATAACTCCTAAGTTATGCTGAGACACAGTACTGGAAGAAAATCTCTTAATAATCATCCTTTATTGGATCGAAAACTGCCCAGGACAAACCCCACTCTGAGTGAATATAACACACATTACCAGGAAATTCGAACAAAAACACTAACATTTATCCACATCATGTACAATTTCTTATTCCTTTAAATATCTTTTGAGGCCTAATCCCTTACTGATAAGAAATGCTACATTGCTAATGTTAACCTTTCATTCAGTACTTTCAACTGGACGGTCCCATTCCTAAGCTGGCTGGCCATCGTGGCCCTCTGTGTGTTCACAGTCGTGCTGTACTTCATTCCACTGAGATACATTGTCCTTGTCTGGGGTAAGTAAAGCCTTTTTCTTTTTTTTTTTACTGTCTTAGCTGCTAAGAACAAACTATTTTTAAGGGATGAATTATCCTGTCAGTAGTTCCGTATATTTATGGTCATGAAGCTACTCCATGATGAAAAGAGACAGGTCGGTTAAAAATCACAACAGTATAACGATTTAAGTCTACCTGCAAAATGCATTTTTCTTATCTGGCACCATAGGCTCCATCATACTATAAACATGTTGCTGTGCAGATTCTTCATATATCAAAGAGTAGCTCGGTCTAGATATCACTCTGATTTATTTTCACCACTTATATGTAAACAGAGGCATTTCGAGCCATATGGTGCGTTCAGGACAATATGCTTTTGTGCTATGGTGCTCTGTCTTGTGGAAGTGTCTGTAAATATGGTACTATATATGGTCACCTGTAGGGTACAGAAAAGGGTCCCTGTCATTGACAGGCTGCTTAGGAACAAGAAACCTGCTTTATGTGTACTGAATAAGAATGCTTCTGCAAAAACCCCCTTTAAAAATAGTTTCGGGTCCTAATTTTTAATGCAGTTATGCCGCATGCCAACAGTTCTCATGTACCAAGTTTCAGCATTCTTGATAGTTTTGCGGTTCCTCCCGCCCCCCCCTCCCCCGCCCCCCCCAATATCTGACAAAACTCTTGGTTTGGAAAATTCAATTCTTAATCTCTAAGACTGACTAACATATAAAACTATGACATTAATTATATACATACATACATATATACATATACATATGCATATACACACACATGCATACATATTACATATACATATGCACACACACAAGACTGGGTAGAAGTAGAATTCTCTACTTGCCCCTGGTCTCCACACACCTAAGCTTGCTAAACCTATACAAAATGCTAAGAACTGAAATGGGCCTTAACTCCAGACAACATGTGCTCATACAACAAAAAGACCAAAGAGAATGTTTTGTTCTTTTCTTTTTAAGGCTTTAATGCACTATGCTGGAATAAAGGAAGAAGGGGTCAGATGTCTCTTAGCCCTCCAGTTTTAGGATTCCTTTCTCCCTACTGTTTTTGGTCTCTTTTCCTATCATGAATACGCCCTCTTACCACTTACCATAACCTTACCTCCGTATCTTGGGTGGGGAGTAGGGTAGTGGGAATAGTGACTATTTGTTCTTAATTTCTATAGTTTAAATAAACAGTTTCACCTAATACAGTACTTCCACTATGCTAGGGAAGAGGCTTTTTCCACCATGTTCTTTTTCCCTAGTGCCGTGGTCGGCAAACCACGGCTCGCGAGCCACATGCGGCTGTTTGGCCCCTTGAGTGTGGCTCTTCCACAAAATACCACGTGTGGGCGCACACGTACAGTGCGATTGAAACTTCGTGGCCCATGCCCAGAAGTCGGTATTTTGTGGAAGAGCCACACTCAAGGGGCCAAAGAGCTGCATGTGGCTCGCGAGCTGCAGTTTGCCGACCACTGCCCTAGTGTATGCTCCAGCCCTCATCTTGCATTCCTTTCTCTGATATTTAAAACAGATGCTCTTATCATGAAGGAATTAGAGTAGAGCATTTGGCAGTTTATTACCTCTAACCAACTGAGAGCCACTCCTGCCATCTAGGTTGTGATAGGTGGTGAACCTCTGGTTTCATTTGCCCAGGTTCTTGGAACCTAGAGACCATGGCAGACATCTAGCTCTGTAACTTGGGAGCCACTGGCTGTCTTAAATGTAATTTTTAGAGAATATGTTTGGGCCTCTTGTTTCATTCACTGAAATGAAACAAGAACAGTATTCCCTTTAGTGGTACGTGATTGCTGAAGTACTAACCAGAAGTTTCAGAGGGACCTCACATGGGGACACAGGAAGAGAAGAAAATCATTCTGCTGCATAAAGAAGAGCCACAATGCTCTAGCTTATGGCCCAGGTCTCACCAGACCACTGCTTTCATATCAAGTTGCTTATGTATTTCTATGTGCATGTTTGGTAATTTAAGTGCAACACAAATTTAAAAACAGACTTGCCACATTGAAATTCTACATTATCACACAGAATATGTAGGATAGATACTTCTAAGTTTTATACATTATTTTTACATTTCACCTGCATTGACCCTTTATCCACACTGACTCTTCAGGTAGTACAGAGGATTAACTATTGAGTAAGTTAGCATGGGTAGATGTTTGTCTCTAATGATTCTTGGCTGTTGTGATCCAAGTTAGTCAATCATGGCGGCATCTTTTGCAAGAATTTAAGGTACACTTCTTGTAATTTAAAAGAAAAACTGGTTTCTAAAAATCCCAATGCCAGAGATAGAGACATTTTTTTCTTGTGATGAGAACTTTTGAAATGTACTTTCAGGGAGAGGCTCTGAGCAATTTCAAAAATGCAATTACAGTATTATTAACAATAGTCACCATGCTAGTCATCAAATCCCCATGACTTATTTATAACTGGAATTTTGTACCTTATGACCTCTTTAGCCCATCATCCAATTCCCTCTTCTAGTAACCACCAATCTGTTCTCTGAATCTATGAGATCATTTTTGTTTTAGATTCCACGTGTGAAATCATACAGTATTTGTTTTTCTCTGACTTATTTCACTTAATGTAATGCCCTCAAGGTCCATCCATATAGTTGGAAATGGCAAAATTTAGTCCTATTTTTATGGCAGAATAACATTCCATTATATATCACATTTTCTTTATCCATTCATCCATTGATTGACACTTTGGTTGTTTCCATTATTTTGGCTATTGCAAATAATGCTAAATGAACATGAAGTGCATATATATTTTTGAGTTAGTGTTTATTTTATTCAATTAAATACTCAGAAGTGGAATTGCCTGTTGATACTGTAGTTCTATTTTTAATTTTTTGAGGAACCTTCATACTGTTTTCTGTAGTGGTTGTACCAATTTACAATCCCACCAAGAGTATACAATTATTCCCTTTTTTCCACATCCTTGCCAACACTTACTTTTTTTTTTTTTAACAGGTGTGTCATTTTGGTTTTGATTTGTATTTCCCTGATCAGATTCCTGTTGGCCATCTGTATGTCCTTTGGAAAAATTTCTATTCAGGTCCTAGCTCAAAGAAGATATACAAATGGCTCAGTTGGTTGGAGAGTCATCCCATATACCAAAAATTGTGGGTGTTCTCCCAGTCCAGGCACATACCAAAAGCAACCCATCAATAAAAACATCCTTCAGCAAAGATTAAAAACACACACAAAAAACACCACAATGAGATATCACCTTACACCAGTAATAATGGCTATTATCAACAGGACAAGAAATAACAAATGCTGGTGTGAGTGTGGAGAAAATGGAACTCTTGTGCACTATTGGTGAGACTGTAAATTGGTATAGGCACTACAGAAAACAATATGGAGGTTCTCCAAAAAATTAAATTAGAGCTACCATATAATCCAGCTACTCCACTTCTGGGTATTTATCTAAAGAAATCCAAAACACTAATTTAAATAAATAAATATATATATAGTGGTACGTGATTGCTGAAGATTATATATATATATAATCTCCCTCTGTTCATTTTAGCATTATTTATAATAGTCAAGACATGAAAGCAACCTAGGGGTCCATCAGTAGTCAAATTACTGGTACATATCTATATAATGAAATCTTAATCAGCCATAAACAAGAATGTAATCTTGCCATTTGAGTCAACATGAATGGACCTAGGGAGTATTATGCTATACATATTTCCTATATATAGTAACACTGCTGTATTATATAAAGGAAAGTTGTTAAGAGAACAGATCCTAAGAGTTCTCATAGCAAGAAATATTTTTCCTTTCTTTGCTTTGTAGCCCTGTGATAATCATTTCATATGCTATACACCTTATCCCTATATAGTCAAGTATGTCAATTACTTCTCAATAAAATTGGAAGGAAAATAAAGCTAGGTAGTTTGGGGGCTTCTCTCTCATGTATAAGTCTTTAAAAAGTGGGGATGCCTGATATGGGGCTCAGATCCTATGCTCCTCAGGGAGAGGCTCTGGACTGGAATTCCCTCCAGACTGTAGGTGCTGCACCGGGGGGTGGGGTTTATTGTGACATTGTGCCGCAGACACTCCTACCTGTTTCCTTTGGGCCTTTTCTTGTTCATCCAATGTGTAGTATTTACTCAGCCAGTTTTCAGAGAAAGTTTTCCCATAAGCAACTATAGATCTGGTGTGTTCATGGGAGTTCAGGATCCTTTTATACCGTCATCTTCAGAGCTGGTGATAAATCCTTTCTCATTTAAAGTAACTTCGAAATAAAATCAAGGTCTTCTACACATTTAGCCTGCATAACAGTGACACCTCCCCGCCCACACACACTTTATCTTTTGAAAAAGAGAAAATCAATAAATGAGACTTCTTGCCTTAAAAACAATCCCAACCAAAATGCAGGAAGACAATTTTCATCATAGATGGGACACTAAAGCAAAGCTGCTACGTACAGTAACACTGAGGGGAGAAGCAAATAAGGTCATTGACTATTCTTGTCAGGTGGCTTTTGTTTCCCAAATGCAAAGGAAGCCACTAAAATACAAAGAGAAAAACAGCATCCATTGGGTTGGGAAGGAGAGAGGAAGGGTACAGGGAAGGAAGAAAGACAGGATTTATTGGTTCATTCAAGGTTAAATGGCACCTTAATCTAGAGACCTTCGAATCACTTTAATACATTTGCCAGAAATGTGTTTTCTACAACAAACTTTGGAGATTTCAACAATCTATCACTTTTTCAGGCATCAATAAATTTACAAAAAAGCTTCGGTGTCCCTATGCAATTGACAACAATGAACTGCTTGACTTCCTTTCTAGAGTCCCTTCAGATGTACAAGTGGTATGTAGATTTCATTATTACTACTATTTTAATGTCGGGTAGCATTAGTTTTTACCTTTATATTCTTTTAATTTCAAAGGTTTCAAAGAGACTGGTAAAGTTAATAAAGCCTATAACTGATCGTGCTGTTGAGAAATTTAGCCTACTTGGGGTGCTAACCTAGCAGAGCTCATAGAGAAGAATGGGGAATGAGAGGGTTGCATCAAGAACCTACCAGAGCCGTCAGGGACTAGGAAGGTTCAGCTGGAGACTGTGAAGGGAAGTCACCATGACCTGAAGGGAGGAAACAGGAATATTAGATGATGAAAGCAAAGTGTGCCAGTGGACATTTGGAGAAAAACACCTCTGTGCACAATCGCACAAATTGAATGAATTTTAAAGATGCATATTTGAAGTCAGTGAGTGGGGGAGAAGGCTTTTTGAAGACTGGAGCATATCTCAATTCTTTAATGGGTATTGATTAATCTGAAAGGATTTTAATCAACTATTTTCAAAGTAAAATGAGAAATGTTTTTAACAAAATCTTGAAACTGGGTTACAGTGATACCTTTTTCCTTTGTTCCAATTGAGTTTATTTAGTATCAGACATGAGAGTGAGCTGGATATTAAACCTATATTAAACAATAATCTGTAAAGAACCATTATCCATCCCTTCAGAATAGATGAGATGGTTTTGCTTTTAATGTTATGTCTTATGGACAGTGAAAACCCAAGTCTGTTACCAGAGGTCACATCGGGGCTCTCATGTAGCTCCTGGCAGGACTTCCCTCAGAATCTTGCTGTATCACTCTATTGTTTTCTGTATCCCAGCTGCAGATCTCATACAGCTTCCAGAGTGAGCACTTTTTTCCTCCAAGCAGTCTTTCCTTCCTTTGCCAGAAAGTGGCCACCTGACCAGTCTTTCTCTGAACTCTGTTTAAACAGGTGCAATACCAAGAATTGAAACCAGATCCCTCTCACAGCCCATGTAAAAGGAAGAAAAACAATCTTGGCTAGCTAGCTCCCAGCACTGAGAAGACCAGCATCTGCTCGGGAAGATAAAAAAGCCTTCCAGCCTCAGCAGCATTTCCTTTCTTTCTTTTTATTTATTTTACCTCTTAAAAAATGATAGTGAGAATTTGTAAATAGTGTATAAGGGCATATGTCTTTGAAAATATACTTCCATTGTACAGAATCAATTTGATAAAAAGTTTACTTACTGCTGTATGAAAGCCTTGTTAGTGGTGGCTAATAATATAGCACACTGGAACAACAAATGTAAGAATGGTAACACTGGGAGACACACACTTCTCTAATTACAAGTGGAAGAACCAGATTAGATTATATGCTTTGTTTTGCCTGATGAAATCTATATACATGTTAAAGTTTTTTTCATGTGACTATTTTTTATCTGAAAAGTACATTACAGTTTTCTATGTTTTATACTTTTTGAAAGGGAGGAGGGAGTCCCAAGACGTGAATAATGGAACAGATGCATTTCAATTTCACATAAATTCTGATTTCAGATCCTGACATTTATTCCTGAGCAAAGATTTAGATATGACTAGGCTGACTTTAAGCTAATGAGTGAAGGTATATTCACCACTCAAAAGAATCTTCTATACTCTGAAATCCTACAAAGAAAACTTTCCTCTATCATTCCATCTAAAACCTTAAAATCTCTACAGGATTACACATAAATACTGCCAGGTTTATAAATGAATGCCTATCTGAATTTTTATACCTACCACTACTTTAATTTGTATCAAGTTAGAAAATTAGCAAAATTTCAGTAAACATACTAGCAAACTAAATCCATATTGCTTTTGGTGTCAGATTATACCCCTGTATATCTAAAAATATTTAATACTCACATGTTCTCACAGAAAAAAAGTTATGTGCTTTCTCATTAGATTACTGAAATCTTTAATGCATACTATGATTTTTGTTATTAGTGTGAATTGTAATGTAGAGGAGAATGCAGTGTGCTAAGTGATATGCCAATGTTTCATTTATAGAAAAAAATAATCATTCTTGAAAATATGAATGCATGAAAACCTCCTTTTGTAAAATAAACTGTGTATGGGGAGGGGGAGTTTGCCTTTAAAAAGATTTCACTACTTACTATAGAATCTATATTTAAAAATTGCATTCCCAAGACTCTTGTGGTAGTTTTTCTATTCCACTTCAAGTGAGTATACCTCTGGAAAGAGAAATAATTTGGTGAGTATGTCTTACCCCCTCCCGACTTGGTAGGGGATTAAGCTTGCCTAAAATTGCTACAGAATGTTTTGCACTACTTTATTAATAATAGATTGAGATAGGGTGAAGATGGGGGTTGTGTTGGAAAACTGTAGAAAAGGCCGAAGCAAGAAACATATATCTCTCTCTAAATTCTTTAACAATAAATTTAATCTCATCAGAGCTGATTTTTTAAAGTATTTTTATTTTAAAGCTATGTTGTTAAATACTATTTCTTATGATAGAACTATTTTGATCTGTTTATACACTATGGTTGAAAGATTGTCAATTAAATCCCTTTCTATAGAAAGGCTTTGACCTCAATAAGCTCCATTTAGTGCATCATGTTTGTAACGACATGCTTATATTCGCACACCATCACTATATGTTGCTAAGACAATACTCCATGAAGTTGATGTTACTACACAAAGTTTGCTGATAGGATAATTTGTTTGAAATTACCTTTGATTACATCTTGTGTGAGGTTTACATTTCATGCTGACAGTGTCTGCTCAAATGTCTACAAGCCTGATATTCTATGACCCCAGATGTACCTAGTGGATAGTAACCATTAATGGATTAGTAAGTTTTGTTTCATTCTATGAAATTTCAGATGTTTAGTTCAATGGTAATGTTGACTATACATTCACTGCATTAAATAAAAAATCTTTTCTAAGTAAAATCAGTACTCCTTTTTTTGGTGGCTGAGGGAGGATTGTGTGCATATTCTTGTAAGTGACACTTAGAGAAACTCATGTTTGGTTTGGACATATAAGGCTTTCCCTGAATCCTAGACTTTTTACAAAATTCAATACCTTCTGAGGGGTGAGCATCCAAGGAAGCTGACAGAGGAGTAAGAACTCTCTGGAGGCATGAGAGTGATATTCATAGGAACCTTCATTGCTTTTAGAAACTACTACATTCAAGGCTAAAAACAAGAGACTATGTCTAGTAAAATTTTAACTCTTTCCCCTATGTGAGGGGTTTACACAGAGCTGTTTAACTTTAGTTTTGAGAGATTTGCCATGTAAATATTTCAAGATGTCTGACACCTATTTAGATTGCTAAATACAGAAATCATGTGAACTACTAAATATGTTCCTCAGTATTTTTTAGTGAGTCAACTCATTGAAGGTCATTCATATTCCAACTATGATACTTCATAAGAAATGCGTATTTTAACTTTTTTTCATCTCTAAAGAGAATTCAGCACTTCTGGTTCATTTTGGTACTGTTCCACAGACTCAAATTGATAGATTCTGTAGGGATTCCAAAATACTTTTGAATCATTCTATGCACAAGGAAAATCTGAATAGGCAGATTCTTTAGATGACTTTGCTCTGTGGTATGTTTATTGAGTACCTACTATATGACTTGCCCTGTCATAGTCAATGATCACCCCAATGACGGTGTATTAAAATCAATTCTGGAGCTAAAGTATAGTGAGAGCAAAATTTAACTGACATATTTCTGAAAGTATCTTTTATAGAGTTTTATTCTGTATTTAAAAGTGAAGAAAACTTCAGTGGTAAGCTCTCTTACTCAGGGACCGTAGGAACTTTTCCCCCCCATTTTTATCTCAATATCCAAATGTCCCTAATACTGAATGTAGTCTACTCTTGTATTAACAAGTCTTACTCCGAAGCTTTTAGTTTCTACATTTATTAAATGTAAATGAATATTTGACTTTTGTACTCAGCTTAAAAACAAACCAAAAAAAAAAATATATATATATGGCAGCTAATGCTCTAGAAATACAAATAAAGACAGCCACCATTACACTTTTTGCAAAAGCCTCAGATTATTAAGTTAATACTTATTTAAATTCTGGGACATATATCAAGTGTGAGTGTGAGTATGTGTGGACAGATGCCTATTCATTTGGTTAGAATCAGCCTTTTCTAACTGCTCAGGCAAGTATGAATTAAAACCACAAGAAAATAACATAATGAATACTTACAATAGTGTCATTCCTTTAAGTTATAATTCTCTTTCGTAGGATGACTGGTATAACTCACTGAAGACAACAACCACCCACAAACATTTTTTTTTTAGTGAAAATGTAACCTCTTATACCTCAGGCTTTTTACATTTGTACAGTGGCAGTAACATCATAAGATTTATTCTAGCTGAATCTCTGAGATTTAAGAAATATCAAGGAAAATCTCTCATTATGTAAGAACATTATGGAAAGAAAAATGTCACATGCTACTGAAACTAACAACTATGAAAAGTTTGCTGAAAACATAATTTTTACATTTGTGCGTTTACCAAAGGATTTGGATTAACCCCCACCCCCTATCCCAAAAGTGAAACAACCAAATATATAATTGGTCTCAAATAAGTTTCAACTTATTGGTATCTTCTGTCCTTCACATTCAAAACTGACAATATAAAACTGTTCTATGCACAAGCAATGTTTTTGTAGACAGGTTTATTTATATTATGGTTGTGTCTCCAAATGTCACTGAAAAATTATGACTCCATTTTTAAAAAGGAAACTAACTAGCACAGCTGCTCTGCTCTGGTCAATTAACAGTGTTACTCTAAACCAGGGGTGGGGAACCTTTTTCTGCCAAGGGTCATTTGGATATTTATACCATCATTCGAGGGACATACAAAATTATCAACTTAAAAATTAGCCTTACTATATTTGGTCAAACATTTAATTAACTCACCCCTAATGCCGTGGCAGGGCCAGACCAAATGATTTTGAGGGCCTCATATGGCCTGTGGGTCGGATGTTCCCCACCCCTGCAAGTTGAAACCTTTTTTTTTAAATCAAGCTAAACAAATAGTTATGAAAGTACCTGTGCCAGAGTATTTTCAGTTGTAGCAAAAATAAAATAATTCTCCCAAAGAGAAAAGGAATGACCAACCTGAAAGTCAATGAGCAAACCTTCAAACCACCTCTTAGTTTCTCAGGAGGAATGCATCTGATGAAATACCAAGATCTGGTTGAGTATGGCTGCTGCTGCTGCTGCTGCTTCTAAGGCAAAGTGATAATATAAGCTCATTCCACTTTCTAGTCAAAGTCAAGCTTCAGAATGCCAAGAGTCAACTTGAGGCATGCTATCTTAACAGGGTTCAAAATGGTAACAAGTTTAGGGGAAATGCTACCTGTATAGCGAAAGGTGCACACCTGGTCCCAACCAATCTTAATCGTCTCTTGATTACTGGAGACATACCTGCAATAACAGTGAAGAGAAATTATAGTTACAGCTGGACCACAGAAAAAAAAGTAAAGGGGGGGGAGAATGCCATTACTTGTTCTAAGTTCAGAGATCTTCTTTTAATAAAGCTACTAAAAGAAGTGGAAAACTTTAAACTCTACATCATCTCCACAAAACATCCTTCCTTTTATATAGTAGTGAGTATGACAATTACAAGTCAAAATTTGTGTCTAACATGTAATACTGGAACCATGTAAGACAATTTATTGGTGTCAAATTTGATAAAGATTGAAATATCTATGTTCTACTATACAGCGAGGGATGTTTGTGATTTTGTCTTTGTTTTTTATAATAAGGGAGGTAGATCACTCAAGTTCTGACCCAACCTTACATAATGGCATATCTACCACTTACCTTTTTCCTGGAACTCTTAGACTTCAGATTCCATTAACACAGAGAACTAGCAAACCATAGCAGGATTTTTGAAGCACATGGGAACGCACCTGGAAGATCCCACATACTATGAATACTTAAAGTAGTTTTAAAACAGACCAAAGTGGTGTTCTACTTTACTTGAAGTTGCTGAACAGGACTTTATAAATTTCCTTGGATGAAAAAATGCATTTTCAGGTATAACAGAGAAAAATGTGTTTTTTGGGGGGGGTGGGGAGAGGGGATGTTATCACAAAACATTCAGCACTTGATAACCAAGAGTCAGGGAACTGAATCTTATGGGGTAGGGTGCCAGGTACACACCATCCATTCTTGTGGCACTCTGACGCTAACACAAAGAACACACACCAAGTTACTTGATTTCCCACGATCTCTGACTGTGATACATTCCTGGGAAGCAGGTGAGAAATCTCCCCCTAAAAACACCTTGATGTGATATTCTCTCCAGCATTCTGTAATTATGATGTAGGCACCCAATGCATTTATAGAAAACAACTGTTAAAACGGTATATTTTCATTGTACTACTTAGAACAGTACCTTAAAAGAAGCCGTTTCCCTGGCCTTCAAAGAGGGGCAAAATAAGAATCTCTGGAGCACTGTAGCAAGATACTTTGACTCTGATTTCTCCGTAGATGGCTGGCTGTTTGTACCTGCACCGATGTTATAAATAATAAGACCTATATTAACACGTTAAGCGCCCAGCCTGTGTTGTCTTCCGGACAGAAAGTATAGTGTCAGTCACTGGTGACTGACTGGGAGCTTAACGAGCTTAACACATTCACTGTGTTAAAAAGTGAATGTTTTGCAGATCTATGATGATACAAGAAAAAAATTCTCTAATATAGTAGTGAACTCCTTTCAAAGTCATTTAAGGTACAACCTTTGATAAGTGTAGCCATCATTTAATCTTCCTGTCTCACTGCTTTTTGGTGTTGAATCTGGGGTGGGGGGGTGGGGGGGGGGTGGAGGGGAGACAACCCACCAGAGGAGAAGTAATTTTGAGGTTCCATGGATACTTCTAAAGTCAGAAAAGGTGATAGTGAAGACATGTATGACTCCACAAGGTATCTGCAAGAAGTTCAACCTTTAGCAACTTAAGAATCCCACTAAGGAGTCATGACTCACCCAACATGGTGAGGCAATACTTACAAGGGAATTACAATAAAGATTAAACAAGTAAATGAGTGACAAGATAAGCCAGATTTACTCTCAAAGGAGGGGCATACAGTATTAGTGAATGTTTTGCAGATCTATGATGA